TGTGTGTGTGTGTGTGTGTGTGTGTGTGTGTGTGTGTGGTGTAGCCTCTATCAGCCTCGCTGCGCTGCCCCCTCCCGCGGAGCCCCGCCCGGCGCAGTGGAGCTCAATCAGCCGCTGCATGAATACACTCGAATGGAAAGTTGTGCTCAGCTGACCGGAGAAATCGGAGCCGGGCTAGTCCTGCTCCCCTCCTCCCTGGCTCCCTCTCACCCTCCCCCACCTCCCTCGGGCCAGACGGTCACAGCACACACCGGCGCGGCGCGGGGAAGCTCAGCTCCGCTGGGGCCGGAAAGGGCCCGGGCGGTGGGAAGCTGCGGGGGCCTGAACGCGAAGGCTTGGGGCTGAGCCCCGGCAGCGGTGAATCTCAACCTAAGCACTTGCCGGCAGAGGACAGAGGGAAGGCCCGGGAAAGCCCCTGAGACAGCAGCGGGTGTTCCAGGTGACAGCCACACAAAGGCCTAGGCGGGCGAGAGGGTCTGGAAGACAGAGGAAGGCAAAGGAAGACAGGGAGAGGGAGAAGAGATGGAACCCTCCCTGCTTAGGAAGGCCAAGCGTGTCCATTGAGACTGCAGGAAGTAGGCGGTGAGCTCCCGCGCCCCTGCGATGCACTGGGTCCAGAATGAGCCAGGCTGTTCCATCTTCCTTTCAGAAGAAACTGGGGCCACTCGGCCACTATGGCCTACACTAGGGCTCACGGTTAGTCCAACTCCGCTCGCCTAGGCCAGAGCCTAGCCATCCCAGCTCCTTCCTGGTGCCAGCTCTACGCCCAAAGTCCGGCCACCCCGGCTGGGCTGGTTCCCACCGCCTCCAACCCCAGTCCCAGCCAAGAGGCACGATTGATCGGCATCCTGCCCTGCGCGGTGGCAGCTTCCGGGTCATTTCATTGTAATCAGTTGTGCGTCTGGCCGGGTTAACCAACTGCGCTGGCACCACAGTCGTGCCGCATGATTCGAGGAGGGCAAAAAGAGGGCCAGGGCCCTTGGACTGTGGCTGGGACAGGGAGGGAAGATAGGCAGGGAGGGAGAAGAGGTGAGCCAGCAGTCTGGAAGGGGTGGGGAGCCTAGCTTTCTTTAGGCAGTGGGCTTCTCCTGGTCAAGGACTTTGATAGATTTTCCCAGCTTCACACTCCACCCTGCCCAGTCAGGTTTCCAATGCAAATCCTGGTTTCTCATTGTTTTTCTTTGAGAAAAGCAGGAACCAAGAGAATATTTCCAAGTTGACTGTTATTCCTCAAGCCCCTCACACGCTGGAGTAGAAGGCTCAGGTACACAGAGGCCTAAACACAAAAGCCCCCAAACCAGAGCAACCTGCTGGGACAACAGCCGGAATGGTGTAGCACACAGGGCAGTGAGTGCCAGCCCTCTGGCTCCTGTGGTGCCTAGACAGGAAGGACCACCTATCCATCCTGACCCAGGCCCAAGAGACCCACAGGGGAGCAAGCAGGATGCACAGACTCTTCCGACCCAGGGACAACACTCCCAGGAGGTGGGAGCTGGGCACAGAGACTGAGATGGTTTTTCTGCAAGCAAGTTGCTCTACCTGAGCAGCCTGTGAGATGTTGACTGTTTTGGTCATGGCTTTGAGGGACATAGAAAGAGAATCAGCCAGCAGTCAGTAGGAGAGATCAGACCAGAAGAGTGGCTCTGTTGCAATGTTCCAAGAAGCAGAGGGCAAACTGACCATAATCTTCCCAGGGTAGCAGGGTAAAGGGTGGCCTGGAAAAGTCAAGGAGCCCCAACCCCCTGTGCCCTGCAGTCAATGCACACCCATTATGACCCCTCATTTTTTAAAGAGACAAAAGGGCCAGTTAGTAGGGGTGGGCAGCCTCACAGGGTCATATCTGTAGACTGACTGGCATGAGGGAACCGCTCCCCACCATATCTATACCAGAACTGAGTCCTGCAAGATACATGTCCACAACACAGAGGGTCGTGCACAAATAGCATTCCGTAAGTGTAATAACCACTCTGTAGAACTTGGTACCTATAAATTACTCAAGCTACACACAAATCCCCACACTGTGCAGTACACGGGAAAACACCGCCGGACTACATGTGCAATACACTGTACACTCGTTTACACCAAACATCACTCACACACCCTTTTGTAGGTAGGCCCTGACTGAGTGGTGAAAACCCAGCATTCAGAATTGCACACACATACAGCACCTACAGCAAGCACACCCACATGTCCCTCCTGCAGGGAATCTGTAGGGGAGGGCCCAAACTACAGAGGAGAGCACTGGTATGTGCAGACCTGGGGAGAAACCTAAGCAATGAGAGAGAGTGGCAGATGGTATTACAGATAGCAAGACAGACAACAGGCTGGTGACACCAACAGGGTCCAGACTCTCCAAACCTGAAGACTGGTGTGGACTCCAATGGTCTGTTTTCTACAGTGGAGAAGGAGTGGGCACTGGACGTCCCAAAGCTGCTTTCTGTGTGGGGTATGTTGACAGAAGGAAGCATTTTAATTCCCAGGTTTGTTCCTTGTTCTCAGTCAAAAAGGCACCTACCTCCTGGTGTCACCTGCCTAGGTGACAGGAGTCACTCTCCAATGGTGCCACCCCCTTGCCACCTATCATTTCTGGTTAGTTGGCTAGGCAGAGTCCATCCAGATTTCTTGGCCAAGTTCTGTGTCAAATACAGGACTGACTAAGTGACAAAGGAAGGCGACATATTCCTTCATTCCAGAACAGCAGCCCCTTTCTCCAAGTCCTGCCACCTGGGTCAACATTTCCTGGAAGCAAGAAGGGTGTTTTTCTGGGCAGTGAACACATGCAGAGATGGTGACACTGCAAGCTGGGCCGGAGGACCTGGAAGTTCAAGAGATGGGCTGAGTGCTTGTGTTTTGAGTAGGGACAGCCTGGGAACCTTCCCTGTGAGGCAGACGGGAGCCCAGGGCACTTCAAGGCCCAGCCTAGTCTGGGAAAACCTTCTGGCATTGCCCAGGATGAGGACAAAAGGAAATCGGAAGTCAAAATTAGTTTGGAAAGGAACGCAAAATTCCAGGCACGTTTCTCCCTAATCCTCCTTGCTTTGGAAATCGAACTTTCAAGTGAAGGCAAGTTTTCTGAAATTACCTCCTTGGCTCCCTCCTCCGGGGGCACAGGCCGCCCAGACCCAAAGCAGTGGAGGCGCTGTCAGCCAAGCCATCCCAGAAGAGTGTGTACCCCCTCCCCCCACCCACGGGCCTGGGAGGCCTGGGGCCACCAGAATTGCGGTTAGCAAGAGGCAGTGGTGTGTTTTTTCTTTTCTTTCTTTCTTTTTCTTTTTTCTTTCTTTCTTTCTTTTTTTTTTTTTTTTTTTTTGTTTTAAAGTGTAAACCCACCCTGAAATATCTTAGGGCTCAGGAGACTCTGGCTGATACCAAAAGACAGGAGGCAATTGCAGGGAGACAGATCGAGAGCCATCAGGAATGTTACGTGGTCACACAGAAGCACACACCGGTGGCGAGGAGGGTGGTTCATCCCGATGCTGGGCTCTAAACTCTGCATACTATCTCTTCCTGCCATCCTCCTATCCTCTCTACCTGGGCCAAAGTCTCTCCCACCCCCAAAAAACAATGAAGGCAAAACCTGTCCGCTTCATTCCAATGGATGCTGGATTTGGTGACCTTGTTTGTTTCCCCTTTTTAAAAACAAGCAACAACAGCCAAGAGATGTCCCACACACCCTAAGGACTCACAAGGGCCTCTATAAGCTAGTTCCCCCATGAATGCTGGCCTGGGGGATCTGGGCCTGGCGTCTGGCACAGAAAAAAACATTCTTAGCTCCCTCCCTGGGCCCTCTCTGACTTTTTGTTCAGGATTCGGCTTTGGTTCTTCCCTGAAATGCCTGTTTGTACCTTTCCACCTCCTCTCCTCCTGGAAAAAGTTCAGATCCAGCCTTGAAATCCTGTCCCGTTCCTGCAGCAGAGCAGGAAT